AAAAAAAAAAGAAAAAGCCAGTCAGTCACCCCCAGCGGGTCAATGGATCCAACAATCAACTAACGACTTATATTGATCATGATTATGACATGGTTTGAGAGTCTATATAATTGTTCAAGTCATTCCAGTAATTGTGATAAACCGGAAAAGATGATTCTCAATCTCCGGGCCTTGGATATGGACCAGTATCTTTTAGAATGCCGTTCCTGGAATAGTTGAGTGGATAATGTAGGATAATCCACTTGCTGTTTCTCTGGTTTTCGAGAGTCAAGATTCCCGAAAGCAAACATGACCTGATTATCTATTATTCTCAAGCGCCTGAACGTGTTCTTGTCCCTTACCTTGATGGGCTGGGAATAATATAGGCGCTAACCCAAAGATATTTATAGCGATTAATATCCGGGGTGTCGTCAGACAACATTTGCTACGTCCTGAGGCATGAAGGCTTCCTAATAACCGTTACCTATCAACAGGTCCCAAGATGGGGAACTAATAGGTACTTCACTTTATCCACCCCACTGCATCCACAATGTACGTTGCGATTACAGGAATAATATGTAGGTCTTGTACATCACACACGGAATGGAGACACATATCACCTCCACTAACAATGATGATTTTTTTTTTTTTGTTTCTTTTAAAGAGAACCATAATTTAGATTCCGACTTGTGTCTTCAAATTAGACCGACCAAGGGAAATGAGGGTTGCCAAGTCATCAGGGGTAAAGCGAACCACTGTTTCATCTCCCGGGACGGCAAGTTCACTAGAGCCTCTGGGGCGAGCCGATCGTCATCTTGAAGCGCCAATGCGATGATTCCGCCGGTTTTGATTGGTCCTTGAGACGGGGTTACATGTTCGGCGCCCTCCGTACCCCTGCCACTTCCAACCCAGGGATTTATTATGATTGATGTTGACTTGCATATTTCTTGTGTTTCTCAACTGGGTTTTAGTCTCCTGCTATTTCATCTTACCCTAACGAATGACTTACAGCAAATAGAAAGCCCAAACCGAGCAGTATCTATGACAACAGTCCAACCGTCCAACCCCCTTTACCCCCCAACCTCCACTCCGGCCTCAACCATGGTAGGGGTGTCACTGACCCAGAGTTCTTTCTGCCCACCAATTGTGCTTGAATGGATGGTTAACTAATCGGAATCTTGATGGTTTCGCGAGCTTAAATTCTATATCCCTTGGTTTATCGATCATATTTTCGATCTATCTTATCTTCATTCTTTAAGTCCCGCATTCCACAGTAGATCTCCATTGTTCCGGGTTTAAGGTTCCCTGTCATAATTCAGCATGAGCTTTCGCTCGGTGAATGAGAATTGACACCAGTATTGCATAGGTATTTATACGTGCACAACAGTGGTGTATAAAATACACAGGGCTGGGTCTCTCCAGCAAGGATATCCCAGCATTCAGAGCAGTTCATTCCAATAAAGGAGATGAATAGCGAGGTATACGGAGCACACGCAAAGCATATAGTCAGAGAAATTCGTCATCAACAGGCCATCATACATCTCTCAGTGGAAACATTGTGTTGTACTTTTCCATCCTCAATCCCACTTAAATTTACTCCGTCCGGTCCAGGGCAATCTCGGATTAGCCGACCTTTAAACTTTCGCCTCCAGGGTCGCCCTAGTACGGGCAACAGACAAATGCCAATAGGCCTGCGGTCCCTCAGCACTCACACGAAACCCTATAGAAGCGTCGGTGCCTATTATAAGAAGCTGCTGCTCATAGAAAAATGTTACAGCCATGCATGACTAGTTTAGGGTGTCAATTTCTTATTATACAAGCAGATTTTATTTTCAGAATCGACCAGTCGTTTGTTTTATATCATCTTTATATACAAAGATAAGATTCCCTTTCAAGGAGTTGCACAGCCATTACACATTATGTGTATACATGGTTAAACGTATCCAATCCCTTCAACTATGTATGTGATACTTAACCCTAGTGCATCCAGTTTCCTACCAACTGGTGTTCTCCTTTTGTCTTTCGATCTCTTATTATTCTCCTTGAACCTCTTCAACGGCATGTTGCTCCCACTATCTTCCTTGTAGCAGCACGATTGGGGCCCCCTGGTACATGAACTAGTCTAATAAAGCAATCGTTTCCCGAATTAATACACTGCTACGGTTAATCAACAGACAACAAAGAAAATACCAACGGCTCACTTACCGGAGATTGAGCATCACAAGGCTCTTCGTAGACTTTGCTAGGTATGTGGAATCCTGCCTTGTACTCCGCTCCTTCTACAGCTTTACATACTTGCCTCTGTTTTTCAGTTGGCTTTGCTGGTACCATCACTACGAGGCAGGTCTTTCCTACAGTCAGTTATGGGATCTATGATCATCTCGTGGCTTGGTTGACTTACACCTGGGATAGGCGGGAGCTCTTTAGGGACCAAAGAATGAAGTTCGGGCTGCTGGCAGACTGTGGGAAGGCTTCACACCTGCAACGTTGGAGGAGAAAAAGGAGAGGATGAGGATAGATATGACAGTGGTTTTCATGCTGAGACACTTTCTAATTATAGTCAGTAGAAGAGATTCAAATGAAACATACGGCACTCACCTGGTAGGATAGAAAGCATTTGATTAAAGCTAATTACAAACGCAAGATAACGGACCCTTATATAAGGGTCTTTTGAAGGTCAAGGCAATAGATGGTTTTCTAAATATTGCAGTTCTTTCAGAGCCCATGCCTCGGGCCCTTCAGAGTTTCCCACCATCGCATAAACCAGGTAGTACTTTCAGTAAAGAAACTTATTGCCATGCTTACTGTAAAGGTTAGATAAATACAAAACTAACTATACGAGCTGTGTCCATTTCAGGAGTGGCAAGTCTATGAATTCTGCTTTCTGCCCACACCTTGCCAATGGAATATGTTTCTACTCGGATATTGGCTGAACATTTGGACCCTACTGCGGTGAAGATTTCTCTTACGTAGCTTAGTATTGGAGGTATCCACCCAGTAAGTAACGATGCGGAGATTCCGAGATACATCTACGTATTCCGTGCTCCGTATTCCGTACTTAACCATTGATAGGCTGAGAGTGGGCCTCGATCAAGGCAACCTACTACTCTCCACATGACAGGGCAAAGCGAAGAAGAAATATTCAAGAAACTTCTCGGGTTCAATGCTTAAAACGGATAGTTCTTTTCGAATATCTAATATGACTCTTGGACATAAAGTATGTTCCATAATAGGTATGTACAGGAATTTCAACTTTAAAACATTTAAGCCCGCTCTAACTGACATCAAGCTCCAAGTGACAAGAAGATCATGAAATGATGACCACAGGATTTAACTTCAATTCTTCAAAAACAAAATGAAGAAAACAAAATAATAGAAAGTCAAGATTTATGCCTAAATCCCTGTATATCGTTATCATGTATTATTCAATTTTTGCCCCTTGACATGCTTATTCCACCGAGCGACGTTGTGTTCGGAGCACCATAGGCGGGCGGTGGTGTAGGGGTGGGAGATGGACGTCTGGCAACGGGATCCCGTCCTGAGGTGTTATTGCTCCGACCTCCTGCAGCCGGGGGCACATCTCCGCCGTCACCACTACCGACTAGAACTTGCTTTCCGTTGCGCATGCGCCCGACAACCATACCCTTAGCTACGGACTTGAGGACTGCCTTACGGCTGACCCCCGTGGCATCGATGTAGACTAGTCCGACATTCTTCACACCCCCAGTCAAATCGCTCGCCACGGCGCCAGCTTCAGCTCCATACCGATGCCCGATCATCGTACTGGCAGCAGCAGAGCCGTGGGTTAGTACGGTGCGGGCACTTTGCTCAATACCGTCCGCCAGTGTCGAGAATGCGATCATTGATTTGTTTAGTATGCCCGGCTTGTAGTCGCCGTTCACTGCCTTGTCGCCTTTGCGCCTTGCATCGGGGTTGCGACGGGTCAACGAAGCACCGAAGTTCTGCGCAACCTTACCAACCTGGCCAACAGTCTTGGCTGAGAGGCCGGCGGCACCATGAGTGAAATTCCCAACCTTACGAACCCTTGAGTGAGTAGCCTCAGAGAAAGTCATTGGCTTTGGGTTAGGTTTGGTTTTTTGGGTAAAGGTTTCGGCCCCACTAGTCATCATATTGGCAACATATGAAGAACCAGTCACGATCAGACGAGAGGCCGTAGCAGAAGTTTGGACCAGTGTTGAGTTCTTATACGCAGGGTGCCGGGCCATCTGCAAGTATTCCTCAGACACGTTACTGACACTAACTTTGTTACCTTCGCCTTCTGCAGGGAGTTCTACCTCCACAGGCCCTAATGAAAAGTTAAGCATGGGTCACGCCTACAGAGAATATGGCTGACTTACGCTTAGAGCCAGGCGTCACGCCAGGTTTCTCAACAACATCATACCCTTCCATTTCACCAACAACACTGCCATCCTCTTCATCAACAAGCACTATCCGCCCATGAGGGTCCTTCCGATCAGGACTCGTGGACGAGACATAGCCTGCACCTGGCGCAAAGTCTGCTGGGTTGTACGGAGCATGGTCTTTTGGTGGGGCTGCGCGCTCCAGGAATGCGGTACACTGTGCCAGAATGGTCTCAAAAGTATCCACATCTTCCTGAGATACCTTATCAGGGCCGCTCCCAATGGCCGGAAATTGTATGCGAATGAACGCGCCTGCATCTGGACCCAAATCCCAGCGGGGGATCAAATAGCTGTTCGGCGGCTGGTGATAGATCTGTGTAGAGGCTGGAAGTGCCAGATCCAACTCCGGAGGGAGGTTAAGATGAAGATAGAAATCTTCTTCTGCTGGCGCATCGTGAGAGCTCTGAGGTGTAGAAGTACTTGTCGGAACCATTAAAAGGGAAAGGGTTTGAGGCCCTGATGGGGTGAGCTCGGATTCTTCGCCATTTTGGATATGGAAAGCAGTTATGTTGTTGACACTGTAGAGAAGGCGAGGGTCATGAGCGGTGCCCGACATGATATTGATAGAGTCTGAGATAACGTTGTACCCCTGTTTATTACCTAAAGCGGGGGTCTGTTGGTACTGCGGGGAAAATGATAACAGTCGTTAGTGTAAAGAAAGACGGAATGCTCTGGCGTGATTATCTCCAAGCAAGAAGTCACTGAGGATAATGTAGCTGTGAAAAAGAGTATCAAGAGGTATTCAATCTCTGGAGGACAGAGGCAACAATATATCTCTGTCAAGAGAAGTCTTGGTCTTCCTGGAGGGGCGCGTCGTCATAGCCAATGACGTTGTCAAAGTGACACTGTACTCTTGATTAGATAAGCATTGGGTCACCCCTTTTAGTTAATTACCCCTTTCAGGTCTCAACATTGCTGCGCCACAGGGTCATGAAGAATGCACCGCCACCGGTTCGATCGTCTTCTGTGCCATGAGTGGCTTGAAGCAAATGGAAACAAACTTCACCAACAATTTGCATGTGAATATTTCGTCTCTGTTGGGACATTCCTGAATATTCTGTATCTGTTGTTCGCTGGATGTGCCTCTTGCTGGTCGGGGATTCTTCCGCAAACCAGAGATGCGATTTTTCCCAACAGCACCACGTAGCTACTAGGCAGTGCTATTTCAGTCACAAGCTCCAGTTTTTCAGTATTAGTGGCGCTTAACATCAGCTCTCAAGAACATAGATATCTTGGCATCGAATGGCGTCTTTTCAGATCCTGTCTGACCTCCACCTAGAAGCCCCCAAGGCGTACGATTTATTTGACATCGCTCCCAAAGCGCCCTACCTGGCGCTTCTGGGCGATATCGGCAATGTCAAAGACGATGGTTTGTTTATCTTTCTTGAAGCTCAGCTTCAAAAGTTTCAGATCGTCTTTTTCCTCTTAGGAAACCATGAGCCTTACCATTCCAGTTGGACGACTGCGAGGGAAAGAATGCAAAAATTCTCTAACACCATTTACCAGAAACGAACGCAAGAAGGTCAGCTCCTGGGGGAGTTTGTGTTTATGGATCAGGCACGCTACGATATCTCCCCTCACATCACCGTTCTGGGCTGCATACTATACTCCAGAGTTCCCAAGAGTCAAGAAACTCATGTTAGCTTTGGCCTTAATGATTTTTATCACATTGAGGATTGGACGGTTGAGGCCCATTGCGCCGCTCATGAGGCGGACCGAACATGGCTTAACGATCAGGTTTCTCATATTGTGAAGTTGGAACCCCGTCGCAAGATAGTGATATTCAGTCATCATAGTCCAACCCTTGCCGCAGCGGCTGTTGACCCCGTGCATGCAAACAGCCCCATCTCTTCAGGGTTCGCAACGGACATCGCAGAAGAACCATGTTGGAAGAATACTCAAGTGTGTCTCTGGGCATTTGGACATACGCACTACAATTGCGATTTCATAGATGACAAGACTGGGAAACGACTTGTGGCGAATCAGAGGGGGTACTACTTCGCTCAGTCGAAGGCGTTCGATCCAGAGAAAGTAGTCAATGTTGAATAAATGGAGTAGATCATGACATGAAAACAAATCACCGGAAGATTATCTTCGTTCCGTAGTAAAGCGAAATTGATCATGAAGAGGAAATTCTGGTCCCGCGGGCCATTGAAAGTAAGGCCGCGGGCAACCCATGGGGAAGCAAGCAAGCTTACATGCTGGGGCCGCGGTTAACCGAGGTTCATCTGCGGCGCCCTCGTGATTTCGCTCCAACACCCTCTTCTTCCCCAGCTCACTTCTCCTCTCTTTCCTTTCCCCCCTCTTTTCTGTGCAGTCAAGCATTTGATTCCGTGCCTCTAGCTAGTCTTAACTTACCTATTTCAGTCCCCTGCGATGGCGTCCATCACCCGTGCGTTGCGGCCTTTGTGCCGGACTACTCCCTCCTTCCGCATGGCCGCAAGACGGCCATTGCCCTCTCATTTAGCTCGGAGGTGTGTTTCCCCAGTGGTTTGCTCACGACTGCTTTGTCCAATAGCATAGACTCTCAAAATGTATGTGCATGTCATCACTAACTACCATTGAATGTACAGTACACATGCATTCTCTACCACATCCCGCCGGCGGGATGTCGACTTGTCCACTCTGACACCAACCCCAATCACCCTTCTGTCCGAAACAGAGTCGATGATGGCCGACACAGTGTCAAAGTTCGCTCAGGAGCAGATTGGACCTAAGGTCCGAGACATGGATGAGGCGGAAGCCATGGACCCCGCCATTGTCGAGCAGCTGTTCGAGCAAGGGTTGATGAGTATTGAGGTCCCCGAGGAATACGGTGGAGCGGGCATGAACTTTACATCCGCCATCGTGGCGATCGAGGAACTGGCAAGGATTGACCCTAGCGTCAGTGTCATGGTCGATGTTCACAACACACTCGTGAACACGGCTATCATGAAATATGGTGATGCCCAGGCGAGGCGGACGTGGCTGCCCAAGCTGTCCACCGGCACTGTGGGCTCATTCTGTCTGTCTGAGCCTGCATCTGGATCGGATGCTTTCGCTCTGCAGACCAAGGCTGAGAAACTTGCCGATGGATATAAGCTGAATGGTTCGAAGATGTGGATCACCAACGCTATGGAGTCTGGTGTATTTATCGTTTTCGCCAACCTTGACCCCAGCCAAGGGTACAAAGGTATCACTGCATTTATTGTCGAGAAGGATACACCAGGGTTCTCTATTGCCAAGAAGGAGAAGAAGTTGGGCATCCGCGCCAGCAGCACCTGCGTGCTCAACTTCGACGACGTGGTGATTCCCAAGAGCAACCTCCTGGGTGAAGAAGGACAGGGCTACAAATACGCCATCAGCGTTCTTAACGAGGGTCGCATTGGTATTGCTGCTCAGATGACTGGGTTGGCACTGGGTGCCTGGGAGAATGCTGCTCGGTAAGGACAGCTCGGACGTGCTTTTTTTGACATCATGCAGAAGAACTTTTACTAACTTTCGACGACAGCTATGTCTGGAACGACCGCCGTCAGTTTGGTCAGCTCATTGGAACTTTCCAAGGCATGCAGCATCAGTTGGCTCAGGCCTACACCGAAATTGCTGCAGCACGTGCTTTAGTTTATAACGCCGCACGCAAGAAGGAAGCAGGTCAAGATTTCGTCCAGGACGCCGCAATGGCCAAGCTCTACGCATCACAGGTTGCAGGCCGCGTATCCGGCTCTGCAGTAGAATGGATGGGCGGAATGGGCTTTGTGCGCGAGGGTATCGCAGAGAAGATGTTCCGTGATAGCAAGATCGGCGCTATCTATGAAGGAACCAGCAATATCCAGCTGCAGACCATCGCGAAACTTCTGCAGAAGCAGTATACTAACTAAAACTAACTAAATGTGGATCCCTGTTATTCTTGATTTTGCTAGATACCTGGCCTGTGTCTTTGAGGGATGTAGTCGCTTGATGACCACAAGATACATGATACACTTCTGCTGATATTAGAGTTATGAACAGTTTGTATGATAAACTAGCATTTGGTTTAAAAAAAAAAAAAAAAAAACCGGCAGTTGAACATTCTATTTATAAACAGACTTTTGCTGTAGAGTGATGTGATAGGTTTTATCTGATAAGTCGAACCCCTCGATAAGGCTACTCTGTCCCTTACTTTAAATTTGGCCTTTGGTGGGGTCGAAGGCGTCAGCACCGGGACATATGCCGATGGATTTTACTGTATAATTCCTTCCCTCATTGCAGAGCTCATACTGTGTTCTTAAAAAAAAAAAAAAAAAGAAAAGAAAACCCAGGGGAAACCTAGTAGGTATTCGAGGTATCGTGAATGCCCGAGAGCCCTGCACCGGAATACAGAACATATTCATTTCAAGACTTCGTAATGTAAATGGTTTGGCAGTTATCATTAATCATTTCCGTCAGGCGGGTGACTGATCAGTTTATAGGTATTATACTCCAGGCTATCACTTTTATGATAAGAGAATATAGCCCGCTATAGTGTGTAGTGCTGAGTCTGGAGGACCCATAGCGATAGTGAGCAAGGCGCCATTCAAAGGGCCTTCCATGCATTTGAGCCGACAGTAGAGAAGAAAAGTTAGTTACCACGGCAAGGGGCGGTTAAGACCAGCGTAGGCATTGATAGCCCATGGACAGGCCGGTACAGAAGGTCGAATGTTTGTGTCGTGCGTCAACCACACGGATATACTCATCGCGTACTGGGTACCGGTGGCAAATTTGTTCGTAGGTATTTAGGTCTCAACTAAAAAATACCACCTTTAATGACCACCTGCCAACGGAATCACTGTCGACGATCCCAGTCATAGCTGTAATCGTTTCTTGGGGGTTGTTCCGGGACTTGTTGGTATTGTTGGGCGGCGTGAATAACGGGATACCCACGAAGGTCCCGTTCTGATGGAATAGTTGGCACGGACATTGATCGTTGACTCGTCGTACATTGCACGACGTGTTGAGGGTTGTGTGGATGCTCGCCTCGGTGTACTTGGCTGGGACCACCTCCTGGGTACAAGTGTGAATATGAGTGGAAATTGGAATCAGGAGGACGACCACCGGGGCGATTAAAGCTGGCTTGGGGTGCTGCAACAGCCATCGGGTTCGACGTTTGTAACTGGCCTTCGAACATAAAAGGTTCTACCCTATTCGAGTAATCTGCGTCCGACGATTCACAGATAGAAGGTGACCCTGTGGAACCGTATTGTTGCCAGTCAGGCGCAACAGAGACCTGGCTGGATGCCGAAAGAGCCGATGGAGTCCTGGAAACTGGATTTACTCTCAAGGATTCTGTGAATTGAGAAGGAAGCACTGGCCCGGAAGGGGTATTGTATGAGCCCTCGGCTGCTCCAGAGACGGTCAGCCATGGTCGCATTGTAACCGCACCACATGACAAGCGGCAAGGACGATATCACACACCTGGGCTTGAATAGGCTTGTCCGCTTCTTGCCAAAGCTAGCTGTTGTTTTAAAGCCCTGATCTCGTTTTCCAAGGCAGTGTTTCTTCGGACAACATGATCATATTGTTCCCCTTTCAATTTTAACTCCGCTACTTGGTGCTCCAGGCGTTCGATATGCTCCTTTGTCCGTTGCCGAATAGTCCTTTGGGCCTCCCGATCGTTGGCGCGCTTTCTTTCGAGTTGTTCTGCCGAGAGAGACGTCACCTTTCGCGTCCCAGCACGGGACTCTCGTTTCTTAGGCTGGGGGTCTGGGATGGAAGCCATCATGTGCTTGCTACAGTAGCCGACTGAGTGTCCGAGGGTGGGGGTAGCGCGTCCTTTGAGGATGACAAGCATAAACATCGAAGAGATGAATGTGATACATCCCAGTTTCTGGGGCAGGCTACAGGGATCGTATCATCCAGGACCTCAGGATGCGACTATGGTTGTGCCATGTGCGTGGATCGCACTAAAATATGGTGTGCATGCCCAAGCGAACGAGGGAAGAACCACTTGATAGAAAGCGGGTGGATAGAGGAGAAGTTGTATCCTTCGTTTTTTTGTGACGGCCACGAAAAAGGCTCGTTCTTGCGGGAAGGTGAGCCCGCAAAGCCTCATCTGGCCGGGTACTTTTGGAACTAGGCACATTCTGGGCCTAAAATACCTAATAGTAGCTTGGGTCTCCAGATTGTCGCTAAGAGTAAGGGTCGATACCCGAGCAGATGAGCTCCCAACAATAAAATCCCCCTGTTAAACAACGGTCCCTCGGCCGTGAAGAACGCCAATGGGCGTGCGCAGAGGACAGAAAACCCTGTAAGAGGGGGCGTCGATTACGACGGGTGTAGCGCCTTTCCTCCAACAAGATATTACTATGGGTCTGGCGCGATGCTATGTGCATTTTCCGGCCCTCCCGACCTACAAGTTCTGTTCTAATTTGCAATTAGCAATCCCCCGGCACCCTTACCTACTACCCTAGCTAATAGACGGGGTTGCTTGACGCTGGAGTCTTTCTGATAGGCCGGAGCCAGTCATGCATAGTGATACTGCGCCGCGCTACCCATGTATCGAAATGGGCTGGCTGGCATTGCTTTCAGAGAGAACTTCGGTCTTCTTGAACTTTTATCGAGCCGATAGCCGTACAGACAGAATCTATCAACAGGTGGACCCGAGGAACCCCAGGCCACATGGTGAGGCTGGCTCAACACCTCCAAGAAAATCATCCAGAGCCACAGGAAACTTTGATATTGTTTCCACCGATGAATTTTACCGGCATTTGAAACACCCAGAACCGTAAAGGACGGTTCGGGTCTTGTTCCCCCCCTGCGAAAAAAGGAAGGAGCCTGCCATATTTCGCGCGTAAGGGTTTCCCACACTTAAGCCCACTTGCCCACGAGGTGTGGAATGCATCAGAAACGATCATCAGCCCTTTATTTGAAAAGAGCGAGTGATTCCCTGGGATCTGCCAGTCTTGGCGATAGCCAGATGAACGAGAAGCTCTTTGGTCAATAAGATTCAACGAATCGTACGTCATCCATCTTAGCGCCACAAGCCGGATCACTTTCCTACGCCCAACATGGAAGGCTGTATCCAAACTTGAGCGTGGGTGTAGCCCTCTCGGATCTTGGACGGAGCCATGAAACCATGGGTGGTGCTGACCACGAGGCAAGTAGATCGACTCCACTTGCGAATGGACTCGTTCAAGTCTAACTACGATTCGTTGGGCCGAAGCGGAAAAGATTTGGAGGGACCATAAAGGTTGCCCTAGCTCATCGAGAGGCGGCAGAAGTTTGTTGGACCAACAAGATCCCGAGAGTTAAGTTAATCCTCCATAAGAAATCGTCCTTAGTACTGGGGAGAATGACCAAGGGATGGGGAAAACGAAGGGGTGGTCAAAAAAGAAAAAAGAAAAAAGAAATTCCTATTTCTCTTTTTGGGTGCGGCGCAGTCAACAGGAGGCCTAATCGATGCATGACGCACCCACAAATGTCCCTACGACGGTTAGTAGTCTAGAATTCATAATCGATGGGGGTACATTAAGAGATCCCACCTTTTTATTTTCTTTTCTTTTCTTTTTTTTTTTTTTTGAGGCCCCCCCCTTTTTTTTTTTTCCACAGACCCGTTCGGTTATTTGAAATCTCCGAATCATTTGTCCCCGAGATCAATTTCTGAATCTCCTTTACGAAGTATATGTCACATATGACGTATACTAACAGCGAGGTATCAAGGAAAATATTGTTGTGTTCCCGATGTTATAGACAGTGCCGAGAATACCCCAGAGTGCGCAAGTGATGTTTGTCTAAACAATAGCATGCAGTGGATGTTGTATTAATGCCGTGTGTGGTGGGCCCCTATCATTGCTGCACAACATTTCAGAATAGCCTAACAGCATCTGCGCCTTTTTGTTGGCGAAAGTGGTCGTTTACATTCCTGGAAATCGACGATGATCGACTTCGCGGTGTTCGGAATCGACAGGTGGTTTTGTGTGAATGACAGACATGGATATTTTGAGAAGCCTCCCTGTTTCAAATATAATCCAGCCTCTAATCTCATGGTTTATTAACGTTAGTCACTATTTCTGACCATCAGAAAGCAAGGGTAGCGTCGCTCCCGTACCAATCATTGACCATCCTCCACGGAACTGGTTCATGGTAAGTTGGTTCTGGGATGCAGGCTCCAAGCCTAGTGTTGAACTAGAGAATCTACCTCCGTTCGATGGTCGACACTATCATGATCAAAGGCTTATGGGACTGTTATCCCTTAGTATCTCGTGTCTCTTACGTAGACAGGGTGTGTAGCCAGCCATATGTCCCATGGTATGCGACCTGGGAGATCAAAAGCGATCGGAAATAAATAAATAAAATAAAATAAAATAAAATAAAAATAAAAACAAAAATAAAATAAACCCAACGTTGGTGGACACGAGTCATGACTTGATGCTAAGAGGAAAGTTAAGTACGAGAGGGGTCCTTTAAGTTAGTTAGTTTCTTTTTGCTTCACCCCTTGGCCTTTTTTTCTCTCCGACCCTCTATGCCATCAAATGCCGGCTTGACGAGATATTCTTCGCTGTGAGGTTGTCCAAGCAAGAATTAATTGAGCAGCGCGGCTTTTGTTTCAAGAAGATGATGCCAACGAGTCAGTCTAGCTATGGCTATTGCCAGCGTCTGAGAGGCTCGCTTGTTCAAGTAAAGCGATGGGGAATCGCGTGGAAGTTGGCAGAATATGATTGATCGATCAACCGCGGGCAGTGAACAATTGCTAGAGGAGAAAAGGCAACTGGTGTAATCTGATTACCATACACTGTAACAATGGGCAGCCCCGCACGCCCCTGCATTGTTTACCTGGGTACCGTACAGTAATGTACAGGAATATGCTTTTCGATGCATTCCGATAGTTGTCATCTTATTATCCGACAGTTTTTCTCTCTCGAATGTGCAGCTTCTCGCTTAGTATGGGTCGACTGACGACGAGATTATATCTAATTCTCCAGAACTGAATTGAATTGAGGGGGCTACTAGAAAGGAAGCTTTAACGCGCAGGCTCAGCAACATGGATTCGAGTTATAAAGCTCGAAAAGAGGCATTCGTGTCTAATCTCGCAGGTGGAAGCATCCTGGAGATCAACGCCGTCACCCTCGTTGCTCCTGTGAGTGGCGCTCTTGACCTCACTCTATGGTTGCGCCTCGGCTAACACACTTAAACCAACCAGGCCTCAGTTCTTCTCTGGTCGGTACTCCAGTCTCGTCTTTCCTTCTTCAATCCCTATGGTGCGCCGGCATTAGTCACCGACTTCTTCCTGAACGTGTTGTCCATTCTCTTTGCAACTACACTCTATTCATCTGCGCCATGGACCCTAAATATCCTCCTAGCCCTTCCAGCTCTCATACTACTCTTCACTTCGACGCCTACCCGCACGCAACAGAAAGCTAAACCTCCGCGCCCATCAGCTGCAGCCAAGACGAATGCCCCAAATCATGCATCTAACTCGTTCGAACCATTGCCCGTTCACCCGTTTCTCACAACATATCGTGCCGCCATGATGGTCATCACATGCGTTGCTATCTTAGCGGTTGACTTTCGCATCTTCCCTCGGCGGTTCGCGAAGGCTGAGAACTGGGGCACATCTCTCATGGATCTTGGAGTTGGATCGTTTGTATTTTCGAGCGGGGTGGTCTCTGCTCGTTCAATTCTTAAAGGTCGGAACAGCCATTCTAAGAAGGTTGCCCTGTGGCAGAGGTTGACAACCTCCACACGACACTCAATCCCTTTGCTCGTACTTGGGTTGATCCGGTTATACAGCGTCAAAGGTCTCGACTATGCAGAACATGTAACAGAATACGGAGTGCACTGGAACTTCTTCTTCACATTGGGTCTCCTGCCCCCATTTGTGGAAATCTTCGACGCCCTAGCTACAATCATTCCATCCTACGAGATCCTGTCCCTGGGTATTGCGGTCCTGTATCAGGTAGCCCTGGAATCAACAGATCTCAAGGGCTACATTCTTGTCTCTCCCCGTGGGCCGGATCTACTTTCTAAAAATCGGGAAGGTGTTTTCTCCTTTCTGGGATACCTTGCAATCTTCCTTGCTGGGCGTGCGATTGGCATCAGAATCATCCCACGCGGAACGTCGCCGTCACGGTCGCCTCAACAAGCCAGGAAGAGTGTGCTTATTAGTCTGGGACTGCAATCTCTGGTTTGGACCACACTTTTCGCATTTAATTCCACGTATGCGATGGGTTTTGGGGCCAACATCCCAGTTTCGCGCCGTCTGGCTAACATGCCTTATGTGCTCTGGGTGTCCGCCTTCAACAATGCTCAACTCTTCCTTTTCTGCCTCCTCGAGAGTACGTTTTTTCCCTCCATCCACCGGGAAACTGGGAAGGACGGCGAGCTTGAACGGACTTCATTTGCGACAAGCCGCATCATGTCAGCTTTCAACAAGAACGGACTAGCATTGTTTCTCGTAGCAAATCTCCTCACGGGGGCTGTGAATTTGAGCGTCCCCACACTCGACGTCACCACTGCGCATGCCATGGCGGTCTTGATCGCATATGTGGCCATCATAACTGGTGTCGCATTGGCACTGGACAGAGCTAACATCAAGCTCAGCCTGTGAAAGCATAGAATTGCCTATATAATAATTGTGTAGAATAATCATGGACAAATATGTACAAGTACGAACTTTAAACTTTAAATAAATAAATCAATGGAGTCGATCGGTGATCTTTATGATGTGACATGGTGGCTTGGCGCTGGACCACATGCTGAACCGCGGTCCATTTGATTGATCAACAAGCTGATTTAAACCCATCATCGCTACATTTTCTCACGTTCCTCTCAGCTCTGGGGTCGAAAGATTGCCCACATTTCACGATGAGTTCCCAACCGCAGTTTGTCCACTATCCCGAGGTCCGTGAAGGACCGTCCGTCCCCTACAAGAATGAAGACCAATCGATCCCCGTCTTTCGCGGCCTCCCTCTAGCTATCGGAGCTACACTGTAAGCTTTATATCAACCAAACATTTCTCCCTTTTTTTTTTTTTTTTTTTTTAATAAAAAAAAAAATTGATAATAAAAAAGGACGAGGGGTATGGATCACTGTAACGAGATTTCAACTAACATTTTATCCCAATCAGCATTCACAACGTGAACTTCATCCAAAGTTACTTCTGGCGCAATGCCGGTTTCGACATCATCCACAATATCCCCCATTTAAAGCAGTACCCTGCCCGCTACGATCCTACCGTTATCCCCGTCCTCGAGAATAAGCTCAATATTTCCTTATCCCCAGCTGAACTACCCATCCCAACTCAAAGAAGGAATGGGCTTTCGGGTTACTATACCTCTGCCGATTACCATGCGCTGTATAAATCCGGCGAATTAACCCCCATCGCCGTGGCCGAAACGCTGATGCCCCTAATCCGTCGGGATGCGAAACCTCCCGGCAAGCATTCCGTTGCATTTCTAGATTCGCAGGTCGAGCGAGTTCGTGCTGCGGCGGAGGCGTCGACAAAGAGATACAAGGATGGGAAGCCGCTGGGTCCGCTGGACGGAGTACCAGTTGTCGTGAAAGATGAAGTGCATATTGAAGGGTATCGACGGACCCTGGGGAGTAAATTGGATTTCACAGGCGAGTTCACGGGGACGTCATGGTGTGTGAAGAAATGGGAAGAGGCCGGCGCAACCATTGTCGGGAAGACGACCATGCACGAATTGGGTCTGGGTAAGCCATGTCTATAATATTTGCTACCCATGTAAAAGAGCAGCGTTGCTAACTCCGGCAACACAGATACCAATAACAACAACCCCAATCACGGAACACCTCGGAATCCCCATAACCGCAACTACTACTGTGGCGGCTCGTCCGGCGGGTCCGGCTACGCCGTCAGCGCAGGCCTGGTGCCCATCGCCCTGGGCGCAGATGGCGGAGGCTCAATCCGGATCCCCTCGTCCTTCTGTGGTATCTGGGGTCTGAAGCCATCACATGGCCGCATTAGCGCGACGCCAACCGTCTCCCTCGCGCAAACAGTCGGCGTCTACGGCCCCATGGCAGCCAGCATTGACGATCTGGCCCTCGCATACCGCATCATGGCAGCGCCAGCACCCGCAGAGCAAGACCCATCGTCCGCATCTTTCCCCGACCCCCTCACCGCCCTGCAAGCCTGGTCCTCCAAACCGCGCACCAAAACCATCGGCATCGCCCGCGACTGGATCGACCGGGCTGAGCCTCCCGTCCGCGCCGTCTTCGACCGAGCCCTAGACTTCTACCGCAAACAAGGCTACGACGTCATCGACATCACGATCCCTTACCTCCCCGAAGGCCAGCGCGCCCACGTCCTCACCATCATGACGGAAATCGCCTCGGGCCTCACCCCCGACCAGATCGGCAAGCTATCAGCCCCCAACAAGGTCCTCGTCTCCATGGGCATGTGGCAGATTTCCGGCCAGGATTTCCTCGCCTCCCAGCGCCTCCGCAGTATCATCATGTGCCATCTCGCCTATTTGTTCAGGAAACACCCCGCGCTCCTTATTCTCACCCCCAGTACGCCCATCCCCGGCTGGAAGATTAACGGTGAGGCGGACCTTTCGCGCGGCTTGTCGGACGGGAAGTCCTCCGTGCGCAATATGGAGTACGTGTGGTTAGCTAATTTCACCGGTTGTCCGGCTATCAACTGTCCTGCTGGGTATGTGCAGGATACTCGTGTGCCCGTTGGTTTGATGGCTATGGGTGAATGGGGTACTGAAGAGGATCTTATTGCTTTTGCTAGAGATGGTGAGGCCATCCTGGATCTCCCTGAGAATCAATTGTCTAGTAAAGGTCAGGTGGGTGAGCAATCCACGGGTCTGAGGATCCCTCACGGTGAAGGGTCTCTGTGGGAAGATGTAATTGCTTCGGCAAGAGAGTAAAATCGTAGGTAAGTTCGTTCTATACTGCCTTCTTGTTCTATACTTGGCACTATAGTTGATTGTTATAATGATTATACTTAAAATACCTAGTCGATGGTGCATTGCTTGCTCGACGAAGAGGTGTTGGTACCGCCGCCAAAGCTTTAGTATAATTGTTGTACTTGTTGAAACTATAGACATCAGAACACGAGTATGAACAGTAAAGGAAACTGAAAACAGTCAAAATCTGTGGATACATTGCGCTTGCTGTCCAGTCGTGAAAGGACTATTTCGTAACATTTCGTAACATACATAGATAGAGCACCGAGAAAAGCAAACGTATGTACATCGGTGAGCAACGATGAAACTTAGAAGATGGCCCAGCCCTACGTCAAAAACAATGCGTGTGACACCAAGATCATAGAGCGAATCAGTCTCTGCGTATGGGGAGCCTCCTGGTATGATGAGGAAGACACAGGCACTTTCTTATATCACAGTCCCGGGTCGCATGGCGCCTGTGAACATAGTTCGTACAGAGTACATGGGGCCCAGAAAATCAGATAGAAACTTCGTCGGTCTGCCGCCATCAAATCTGAACACTCTCGCCTCGTTTGGGAGCATGGAATTCGCATCCTAGATTAGCAGCCTCCGCCTGGTCTCGAAGCTGTGTAACGATCGTATCACTTGGACACGGGCCACCATCCATGTCTTCTTTAATGTGAATGAGATAAACCTTTAAGTTAATCAAAGGTGCCTCATCATGCGGCCAGTTAGACTCCTCAGTCAGGGCTCCCGTAGCCCCAGTACCAGAAGGGTCAGTGGAACTGCCGGGCACTGCCTGGGGGGCGCTGGTAATAGCCGTTGTAGAAGCCCCGGGAAGCACGTCTTGTGACCGCCGAGTCTTAGGGCTCGTTGGCTGCGAGTCTGCGGGTGTTTCTCTGCTAGGGCGTTTGCGTTTTCCAGTCCCCAAGCCGCTTGGGTATTTGACCTTAACAACCTCGCTAGCCAGCACCTTGAGTTCTGCGACTAAGTGTCGGGGGCAAAGATGGCCGTACAAGGACTCATCCTCCACATCATCAGTATAAGAGCATTCGATAAAGATCGCGCGTAGTTTCCCTGAAGCTATACGAGGAGCTGCCGCCTCCCAAACACGCCTGTTGCGGGGCTCGACTGAGATCGAATCAGGTTCAACGTCACCGAAAATGATAATCTCGCGACCCGAGTTTTGTTCGCGTATGAAAAATGCAGAGCTTTCAACGCTCATCCAGGTATCTCTCGGGTTTGAGGGTCTATGCATGGCCGGAGACATGTACCTATGTAATTCGTTCATTTAGTGCTACGGGTAAAATCCGAAGGACCAAACTTACCCTGGCTCTTCTTGAGTCAAAGAGATCGCGGCTCTTGAAGCCGAACGCATCATAAATGGATCACCCAGGTACATTGCGTTACTTAACGAGCGCCGCATCTCGGCTTCCGGGGCATAGTGTCTCCTAGTACACCCATGACTGACACCAAAACACCTGTAGTACAAGCCCTCACAAGCCCGGGTATAGCCTTTCATTTCATCCCGGCCCATCCTTGGGTTGCCTCCCTCTTGCAAGCGTTGGTAGGTGATCAGACCTGCACCGCCGTCTTCGTCTGAGAGGTTTGGCCAGATCACTTCATTAAAAATATGGGTCTTGATAGCGGAGATGACAGAAGGAAGTGCAGCCACTGTCTTGGGACCGTTTGTTGCCTCTAGAATTGGTGAGTTCATGGCGAATCCAGAGAAATGGTCTAAGTGCGGATGAGTGACCAAGATGGGTCCAATGACTTCTCGCAGGATGTGTGCTGCATTTGCTGGAGCAGTCTGAAAAGGTAAAGGCATTCCGGTAAACGGGCCAGTCTGAACTATCATCTCATCCATGTCATTGCGTGTTTCTAGGATATGAATGATTCCACTGAGTAAGGTTCCCGCATCGACTGCAATCACGGTGTCTGGTCTCCAGCTGGTTGATGTCGACCGGACAAGAAGCCCCGTGACTCGATCCTCCCGTGGGCCTCCTGTTGGACCCTGTTGAGAAAAGTTAGCGCTCAACTTATCTGTCGAATCCCAAGAGTGGCATGATACCGCGGAAACGATGGAGCGCCGAGGGTGGTTTAGGCAAGAGCCACAAGACCTTGTCCTTCGGATACGAAACCATCATGTGAATTGGGACAGAACGGTGATTTAGGGAATGGGAAATGTTAAACATGAAATATAGGCTAAACTTACCAAGACAATTACTTGTAAATCTCCTTTTCCGGGCTCGGGGGCTCTCCCAAACGGACCCGTTGTAAGGGCTTCAACATCGAGCTCTGGGCCTGCAATATCCTGCTTTGATCTACCCCTCCCTTTTCCTCTTCCTGAAGCCCGTTTACCTCGTGACTGATTCATTCTCATTTGTATGTAATCAAGGAAAAAGAGACTTTTTTCTTCCGTAAACAGATATGGAGAACAAGAATCTAATCTGTGGAGGCGCCGAATATTAAATGTGGTATTTTTCTGTGTTGATCAATTTGCTCTGCTTGGATCACACACACACACACAGAGAGAGAGAGAGAGAGAGAGCGTAAAGGCGACTGCAACGTTTAAAGTTGAAAGGAAGATTAAAAGTTAATGCAGTGTCCGTCATCCGGTCGACAACTATTTCATTGCTTCTGCTCGTCAGAAATATAGCGAAATGGCAGACCTCGCGCAGTTTCGTGTCGCACACAATTTCGCAATTGAAGTACGGTAAGAAGATGCGCAATGGTTCTGCAGGTCCTTAGGTGTGGTCTGGTTGAGTGCAGGACTGGCGGAATTATTCGAGCACTAGCGAACGGTTGTGAGA